GAGATGCCTGCTGTAGCTAAGGTTTCAAGACAGAGTTTTGGAAGAGGGGGACACACAGATTTGTTACAGACTGGCTCATCTTCCCATCCTTCTGGGCACTCTCTACCATGGCTACTAGGACTCCTTGTTTTGAGCCTCCTTGATGGCCATATTTCACATGTTAATGGATGGGAGAGTAAAATGCATCCAAGACTCATAACATTAACCAGCAACTCCCTCTTCAGACCTGAAAGCATTTGCTAGTAGCAACGCTACCTTAACAACTGGGCCCGCACTGCCCAGTGTGGCACAGCATGCTTTAGCCCTGCTCTTTCAGCCTAAACCCATCCTATTTGGTTCCGCAAACAGCTGGCCAATCTGCACACTTCACACGGCAGGATCTTAGCCTTATTTTAATCACTGCTCCCAGAATCGCATAGGGAAGGGAATGTCAGAGCCAGGCAGGATGGGCAAGCCCAGATACTTGTGCTTTGTGAAGAGGGAGAAGAGGATCACCACGCGAGGCCAACACTCAAAGAACCTGTTGCACTATTCCCCCTCCTTCCCCTACCCAGCATGAGCACTGCAAAGCTACATACCTCCTACACAGGGCAGGTCTCTCATCTTGGGTCTTCTTCCAGAGCTATCTCTGCCGCTGGATCTGGCACGTCCTTAACAGCCTGGCCTGTCCTTTGGCACAGCCTGACCTTGGCTCATAACCTTGACAACCATTTCAACAGCATTTTCCATCCCCTTCTCTGAGTCTCTTGCTGCCCTGGTGTTGTGAACTTGCACTCCTGGCTCCACAGACAGGCAAGGACAGAGAAAGCAAGGACAGAGAGTTCATCCCAGGCAGACAAGCTCTCCTCTGCTCTCTTTTCCTCTCAAAGCAGCTGGATCCAAGGCTTAGCTGCACTGTATCACCAGACTTTATTTCTTCTAGCACCATCCAGCACAAAGCTAGGTTCATTGCCTGGTGTGCAGAAAGTCACTTAGGGACCACTCTGGTCCAAATTCCACATGAAAGCACAATTGCATCTCCACAGCATCCCAATACCAACCAGTACCCATGCACTCACCTAAGCCAAGGGGTGAACACTCTCACCACGTGGCTCGAGAGACACAATCACAGAGAAACAGATGCTGGCAAAAGGTGCTAAGCATTGAGGCTTTTTTTTTTTTTTTTCTTTTGGCACGGTTTACCATACCTAACTTTAGGTACTCAACACAGATGTCTCAGGTTGGAGGCAGTGAAGACTCCCTGGGCTTCCTCTGCAGTGAATGGTGGGTGCAGGACTGAGAGCCACAGCCTAGCTACTTTGCTGCCCTGAATTGCCCCCTCTTTTCTTCCCTATAAAAGACTCACAGAGAATTTGCTGGCTGAGAACTGAGACAGTCTCTTAGTGGATGCCTAACAAGAGACAGTGTTAACTACCCCCCAGCATTGGCAAAGATATTTGTACAGGCTTCTTTGAAACATGATTCCAGATGAGCACACTTCAGAAAGAGCACTACCACCAGTACAGGAAGGCTTGCATGGCCCAGGGGTATTACCCCACTTTATCACCCCCCATCAGAAATGCCCTTTTTTTGACAAGCAGTAGCAGTAGGGTGGCTGGCACTGCTCAGACAGGTGAAGTGAGACGTGCTCAGCTGGAAGCTGTATTACAACAACAAATATAACAATATATGTCTATAATTAGCTCCTGAAATACATACTGACTATCCTGACAGAACAGCCTGCTG